TCTTTGTTGTTATACTTATGTGGATATGTGTGGCTGCCTAGCTTATGTATTAAATATCTTAATCCATGATTTATGTTGTGTTTTTATGATGTATAGCTAGATTAATGGTGGGTTGGGTGAGTTTGAAGGTAGATCAAGTAGAAAAACAAAGAAGAGAAAGGAAACAACAAGTCTAAAAACAGAATTTTTTAGGGTTTCCATACAAATACACTATGTCGACCAATTATTTACTATTTAAATATTATGAAAATATTTTTAACTTAAACTAGACATCTAGAAATTTTTATACATATAAATTATTAAGCAATTGGATTAATATAGAATTAGTTATGAATTTTTGAAGTTTGGTTTAAGTTTCAGATTTTGATTTTGGGCAGGTAAGTTTACGTAAGACATAACTCGTTCTACATAACTTGGATTGAAGTGAAACAAAATTTGTTAAAAATATAAGATATATTAGTTTATACCATAAAAATTTTAGAGTCCAATTCATTTTGAACAGTTCCCAGAATTTTTCCAAAGTTATCCGTAGTGCTATTGAGTCAGAAACAAATCAACCTATAATAACCAAATTTAGAACCTTATAACTTGAGTTCTATTTAATCAAATGAAATAAAAATTTTTGGATAGTAAAATTTGATTCCTTAACTTTAAAATGACAAGAATTTAGCATTCATACACTTAGAATTCAAATTTTGATAAATTTTAATATTTTTAAGTGTTGTTTTAGCTAATCATAGAACTTGTCAGTAGAAAGTAAAAATATATTTATATTACAAATAATTATTTTTAAAAAAGTAATTGTAATAACTATTGAGGCAACAGTTACTATTAATTAAACAAGCACCCCTACGTGTTCCAAGAGCTCATATATTAATTTAAGAAGGGACTTTTTTTCTACCACCGATCCAAACAATGAATGCTAATTTCCTGGAAAGGGTTCACCTCACAACTCAATTATTTTTTAACATATAAATCTTCCAAATTTACTTGAGTACATAGTGGCAGTGCAATAATAGCCAGATAATTTTACAACATAACCAAAGACCTATTTCACACCATAATGGTGCATCGCACTAAACTCAAATTCAGACAGGCTACTTCTATTTTAGAAAACCTCAAAAATCTACATAGTTTATGTAGATTTATGAAAAAAAATTTGGGCAGTTAAGTATCATAACCATGGTAAAATTAAATCATCGGATCAGCAACATTGGATAAACTCATGATCAATGTAATCTGTAAATGAAAAAAGACTAGAACTTGATATGTGATAAAAGCTATGATGCATGGGTACTTCAAAATTGGTACTATACCTGAGTGCAGGTTGCACTCATATTAGACACTCGATATGCGTATTGTACAGTTGCCTCAATATCTAATCTTAGATTTCGTTACTTTCAAACCTCTCAATATACAACTTTTTCTTTGGATAATAACGGGATTAGTATCATAACATGAATATAATACTTTTATTTGAATATGTTATGGTTTTTTAACCATTTCTTCAAAAAGTTAAATACCAATATACAATGATGATGGAAAATGAATATAAATATTATTTATATTACAAAAAGTAAGCAAATCAAGAAGAGGAAATTAATAAAATATAAGCAATTTATATAAAATATATATTTTATTTAATATATTTTGCTGTACCCATATTTTAAATTTTTTAAAATTGTCATATTTATATATCGTATCATATTTTACATTGGAGTCCGATTTTTATAATTAAACGTGTATTTGAATCAAAACAATAGTTTTGAGTGACAGTATTAATATAATTAGTATCATGATTTGGTTCTAGTCTATCAGTATTTCTTATATAAAAGAAGCTGACAAGATAATTAGCTACATAAGTTAGTAACAAATGACGTCTGCAAGTATAAAGCTTTGTTATATAAATACTTAAGTAAGTTGTTTGTAAAAGTTAATTTTTTTATTTTTTTATTGTAATTGGGAGAAAGTTTCTTTTTCTGTTTGGAGTGTTAACTCTGGGGACCTCTTAAAATTCTCTCTCTTCATTTTTATAAACTTTTATTTTTCTCTTCCTAACTCTCTTAGTTTCTAACAATTAGTCCAATCTATCGGATCCATTTTCTCCAATGAGTATGAGAATGAATAAGAGGGTTGATTTGTTGGAGATGCTTGTTGGTGAGTTACGCAGCGCGAGTCAGATTCATGTTGAATGCCAAGAAACTTTCGCGAAACAAATGGAAGAATTACAATCAACGTAGAACTCTTTACCCGTGACGTTGTAAGCTCTGCTTCACGAAGTTTAGAAATTAACCAACATTAGGATTGAGGATCTCAATGAAAGTGAAGGATCGTTGTAAGGGGAAGATAATAATGTCCTTCGTAATATCGCTGCCATTAACACAAAGTTCTTATCGTCTGCCAAAAAGGTTGAGTTGCTGGTTTTTGATGGTATTGATCCCACCGGTTGTATCTGTAGGACAGAGATATATTTTGAGGTTCAAAATATGTTGGAGGTCAAAAAGATTTGTTTGGCCAAGATTTGCATGCAAGGTCACACGATTCACTAGTTCAATCTTTAGCGTGAGGAAATTGAGACACTAAATTGGGAGACTTTTAAACATGCCCTAATTGTTTGATAATAAAAGTGCATAGTTAAAAGAAAGAAATTTAATTATTCATGATAAATTTATGTATTGTGACTAAGTGATGATTGTTGTTATACTTATTGGTGATTGAAATTACTGTTTTTTTTATTTTATTTCATAACTATGATTATGCTGATATGTGGGTATTTAAAATGAAATTATGTTTAATAATAAGGTAGATGATCATCCTAATTAAATTTTTCATGAAACAAGAATGACGATACCTCGAGAGTAAATTAGATTAATAGATAGTTTTGTTTAATATAGATTAAATTATATATTTAATGAGTATTAGAGCTTTTGTTATTTTAAGTTGGCTATATTTATATTTTAGAAATAGAATCATATTATATTATTTCTTTAGATTCTCTTGTAAATAATAGAATCTATTATATCTTATGTATACATATTTATAGAGGGACGGTTAGAACTCCAGCAGCTGCTGTGAGTTATCTATATACCTATCTTAATCATGATCATCTTGGAAGGCCAACTCAAGTAACTTTTGACCGAGTTACTGGTGTTGAGAATTCTTGTAATCTCTACCTTGGAAGCTATGAAGACCTAGATTCCAAGAGTGTTGATTTTCTATCAGCCAATTTAGTACTTAATAAAAAAGAATTGATGGTCAGGAGTAAATCCTAACCAAAAAATTTATAACAATTTATGATAAAATATTCAATATTTATAAAAATAAAAAAAATATAATTAAACCTTATTTATTTAACTGTATATTTACAAAAATAAAACAATTCACTTTTCTTTGTTTCCTGAGTCATCTTATGCATCGGTTGGAAGAAGAATGCATCAACCTTGTTTTCTATGGTCGCTCATGTGACAGTTTGGTGGTTGGTTTTGTCAATTCGTTAATATCAAACTTGAATTATGATTTTAATCTAGTTGATTTGTTAAAACTTAAACAACGCAGGATAGATACCCAACAATTACTTTATAACTTAAATATGTTAATTAGTTAACATAATATATAAATGATTTCTTTCAATTTAAAACTTTAAATTACAAAATCTTGTGAAATTTTATGTCTTGTATTTTTATAGATATTAAATAAATTCAATCTAATTAATATTTATATAATATTAATGTTTTCATTTCTGTTGAATAAAAAGGAAAATGTGTTATTAAAATTAGCATTGTTATTGAGGGAATCTAATTATTTTATTCAAACAGAGAATTCTAGAAAGGAAGAAAGTTTAGTTGAAACAATTAAAATTTTTAAAATATTATATTTTTTATAAATTTTAAATATATAGTCAAAACACCAGCAATTATGTGAATCAATTAACAAGGGTTATTTTGGAGGAAATATATGTGATCTAGACACAAAAAAAGAAGAAGAAAATCATCATCAAAACACACTGAATCTTCACTTGATTTTTTAAGGACATCTTTTATTCTTTATTTTGTATATGTCGTTTAAAGTGTCGTACTTCCCTTGTTTATCACCCGTTAAAGGTTTGATTAATCGACAGGAATTTGAATAGTCTGTAAATTTAATAGGGTTACTATATTTTAAAAAATTTTAAAAAATTTTGAATTTTAAATCCTCCATAATTGATTCTCCAAAGTTGGGTTCCGTTAGGAAAAAAAATTAAAATGTCCTTATTTATTTAAAATACCTAACTGAGATAAAGAATAAAATATTTGGAACAGAGAAAGTTATCTCACCTTAGGTAAGATAATTTCTTCTCCTGTTTTGCAAATTGTATTAAAAAAATCAACATACAATAAATATATATTATAAATTACTTATTTTTATTAATTTATATTTCTTGGTTCCTTCATTTTTTAAGATATCTAATATTTGTATTAATTTGTAATCATCATGGTATAACGATTGATCTTTAATCTCTTGAAATTTTTATTAAAAATACATAACTATAATCAAAAAAAATTTTAAAAAATCATTTGGTTTAAGTTATGATACTAATCTCTTTATCATCCAAAGAAAAAATTGTAGATTGAAAGATTTAAAATAATGTAATCAAGAGTTGATACTCACAGTTATTAAATGCATATCGTGTATCTGGGACGCAAACAACAAGCGTATATTGCCAAGTATCTGTGCATCATAAATAGGTGATGTTGCAAATCATAACAGGAACAGAAGATAAGAATTAACAATATTTTATGTTATGAGAGGAAATAACAGAATGTGCAATATGGGCCTGATCCATAGGCTATTCTAGCCTCCTTGTCTAAAATGCTTAAGCTATCTTACTTATGCACGCTTTATATGTTGGAATCAAATGCAACGAATCTCATGAAATTTTTGTATAACACAACACAAAAGGATTCAATAATGAATAACTTTATTACATAATTTTAATTATCCTGAAAAGGAGCCATGGCTTATGATTATATTAACTTTATTACATAATTTTGCTATCTTTCTGTTCAACCAAGTACATGTACATGCACATTCTGCTTCAATGTAGCATGCCACAAAACATTTAACAAGTGAACAGGGTATATGTTTTCCTGGCATGCTAATCCAAAAGAACAGCTGGACTTGAAGAACCTTTTTAAAATACTGCATATCATAAGCACAATCATATCATGGCAAATTCAATAGTTTTCTTCCCATCATGACCCTTGCTAAAGAAATAGTTGAAGTAGTCAGAGAATGCAACTTGTTTGTATTTAGGTTCATCTCCATTCTCCAGCACTTCTGGCAAAGGGCCAATAGTAGCATCAAAAGCTGGGCTGATAAAAATTGGAATGGAGATCCTGGTTTTGCTTCTATTGGGAACCACTTGATGCTCTATGCTTTTGTATCTTTCATTGCTCATTATCTGTAGCGCATCACCAATGTTGATTACCAATGCTCCCTCAACAGGAGGAACATAGATCCAAGTATCAGCATCACTCCCTCTTACATAAAGCCCACCGATATCATCTTGCAGAAGGACAGTAATTGATGTGACATCGGAATGAGGCGCTACCCCTGCTACAAATTCAGGCTCAGGGCAAGCAGGGTAGTAGTTAAAACTCAATACCATTGCACCCATTAAAGTGTGTTCTCTAGCTTTGTCTAGCACCTCCACGTTCAATTTCTTCAGAAGCACCTTTAACAGTTTTCTAATCAAAGCTTCAGAATGTTTCATATATTCTAGTGCTTCGTCCCTACGAAAAAAGATTAACAGCAATTATCATCTATTCATATGAAAATACAGACACGTGTCGTTTTCTAACTTTCTGAGCATATGTAGATAGAACGAGCTGCATTTGGAATGTTCACACGATGAAGTACCATAAGAAAAGGTAAGTAGTTCAAATTTGCACATCAGTACTCTCCTTTCTTGTGCATATAAACTGAGTTCATTCTGCATTAATCTAAGAAACATACTTTCAATTAACTGAATCCATATTCTTTGTTTATATACATTTCTATTGCCAAAAAAGTTGGACAAAAACTAGAAATATGAGAGTTTAAAAATATTTTTTCGGTCCTTGAGTTTGCAAAATGTTATTTATTTGAGCCTTTTCTACTTTATTTTCCAACGTCGTTTTATACCAAAAGGGAGTAAGTGAATATGGTTCTGTAAAGTTAAGAATTAACAAAAAGTTTTGAAATTCTGACTATAATATAATTTCAGGAACTGATTTACAAAAGCAGGTGATGCACAGAGCAAATCATAGATGATGAAAATAATCACTAACTTGCATATAGCAGGCCAATATGCACGAATTTTTTCCTCAGAAGCATACACAAGTTGCAGATAATCCTTCCACTCCAACACGGACTCAGCGTGAGGGCTAAAACTGGTGGTCAATCTCACAACATCAGGGGGCGAGTTCTCTTTGAGATTCTTCTTCTCCTCAGCTGGCAATTCAAAGAACCTGTGCACAGCAGCTTTTAGATCATCAAAGACCTTAATGGGTATCCCATGATTCACGATTTGGAAGAAACCCCACTTGGTTGCAGCATCAAAAATTGAGTCTTGGACATCTGGGTCATCCCAGTTTGTGAAATCAATGATAGGTATTGATTCATGAGGGACAATTTTGGTGCTGTGTAATCTTCCCTCAAGAGGTTGGATGTATTGGTGAGGAACATTTGGGAGGTTGAGATCAGCAAGACCCTTTACACCATTAGCTTGGTTGACCAAAAAATCAATGAGATTGGTGGGCGTGGACATGGCTAGACTTGGAGATAATCGCTGGGAATTTAGATTACTTGGGAGTAAGAATAGATTTTGTATAATCAGCATGTCTACATGCTGAATTCAAACTCGACTGAAATTTTTCATTATTATTTTTATCAAATAAATAAATAAATAATTGGAAACTCTTGCTTTTTTTCCCACCCTTTGAACTTGTTATTGACGTATCAGGTAATGTAAATTAATTCATTAACGAATGCTGATAAAGCTTAGTTTGTCATATTTAGAAAATTTTCATTGTCTTGTCTTTATAATTTTGTTCATTAGGTCAATGACTGAGAAGCCAAATATTTGTTAGGTTTCACCAAATAACTTTTTATAGATAAAAAATTACCATTAATTTTTTTTTATCATCACCCTAAATTATAAAAAATCAAAGAAAAAGTTATTTTATTGATTTGAGTTTCTACCAATACAAGGCGATATATTTACATAATATTAAAGAAAAAAGCACGGTTGTAAGAAATTGACGCAAAAGATATAACAAGATTCAGATGTATTTTGTTGTTATTAAGTGCTTCCGACACCGACCAAGCCGCAAGTACTTTTTATCGACTCAAATGAAACTTATTTCTCTCTCTTTAAATTTCAACATATAATTTATTAATTTGTTTTTTATTAACTTGTTATTACTCAAAAAATTTATTTAAAAATTATTAAATTTTAACTATTCATTTAACATGAAATAAGATTAATAATTAAAATTAACTATATTTTACTTATTGAAAAATATTATTTTGTTAAAAGTGAATAGGAAGACATGAGAATCCATAATAGAACAAAGTTATTGATGAAATTTTGCTTTGACAAAAGGTAAGCATTTAAGAATCTAAGTAGGTAAGTCCAGTTTGATTAGTTGTTGCGTAGCCTTCGTGAAACTTTACAACACATATAATGGCAATGTGACTATTGTTTTTCAAAAACAAATTAGTAAAATTATCATGCAAGAATAAATAAATAAATAAAAATAAATTTAATATTTTGCATCTTTTTCACGTCATGAATCTTTGAGAGTCGTTATTTAAAAAGAAGTGATATCTAAATATATTATAAAAATAATATAAGATGATTTATCAGTTAAATTTATTAATCTTACATTTTATATAAAAAATTATTATGTGATATATGTGTTTAAATTTAACAACTATGTACAAGTAGATGTTAACTCTATTAATTTAAAATAGAAAAAAAAATTAATAATACGACCTATTGCAATTTGCAAACAAGTAAAGAGGTGAAAAACAATTCAAGAAATAAAAATGTCATACAATTTTTTTTTAACGAAATGTTACCGATAGATATGAGATAAGGTGATTGATTCCAACAACTTATCATTCCTTCAAATTTGTACTCTATTAATTTGTACCAAATAGCAATGTGTTTTTTTAATAATAAAAAAAAACACCAACGGCCCAAACTAGAATAAAAAAAAAAAAAGGTTAGATGGATAAGAAAAGAAGACCTTGAATTTTAGAAAAGTAATCATGTATTTTTTAAACTCAATCCAACAATTGGAGTTGGCAAAAGAGTCTTAAAATTTAAAAAACACTCCTTTAAAATCATTTAGCCTTATTAAATTTTAACATGAATAGAGGCAATTATGGATGAACTCGACTTCATGTCTCTTGAAAAAATATATTTCTAATCTTTCTCATGCTATTAAAACTAACATGGTAGTACTAGGAAGTGAGACTAATTTATAAGGCATTACTTTTGAGAATTGAAATAGTTGAAAAACAAACAGAACCACCTATTTTATTTAATTATTAATATTTTTAGGTGGGACAAAATTTTATTAAATTAGTAAGTTTAAAATTTTTTACACTCAATTTTATTTTTTTATTTAATTTATATTTAATGGTTAATAAAATTATAAATTATAATATATTAAATATAAGTTAAACAGTTGTAAGAATTTTTTAAATTATTATAATTTAACAAAAAAAAATTCTTTTTAAGTGATTTTTTTTTTACCATGTGAGTGAATAAGAATAGGAGTTTGGTGAGAATAATACAGACGTTAGTTGAATTTTAAATGGTTTGTAACCTTTTGTTAAAGCTTTTCTTACCTAACAATACCCGATGACCACTAACCACTATAAAGCATTTTAATAAAATATACATAAGTTGAGTATTTAATAACTTTGCATATACGGTGGTGAATTGTATTCACTGACGGCTCAAGAACTTTTAAAGTCTAAAGCAAATTTAAAAATAATTTTTTTTTTTATTAATAAAATAATTTATTATTATTAATTGAGAATTATGATTAATTAAATATTATTTATAATATCAATAAAAATTTAATAATTAAATTAAATATTTGAATTAAAAAATTTTAAATTTATTTTTTAAAATTTTTAAAGATATATTAAAACTAAAAAAATAAAAATTTGAGGGGCCTAAATTCCTTGCCTATTAAGCCGCCCCTGATTGTATTCATGTTTAACTCAGCTTTTGACAACAAAAGAAGTGGCTGCTTGATGGTATTAATGTTGAAAAGAGTCACAGACTACCATTTATATATTTTTTTTCTTGCTCTTTGACAAATAACTGGTCTTTTTTGTTCACTAGAATTTAAGTTGTTACTTGCTCTCTCTTTTTTTGGTGAAAAATTTCTAAAAAGTTACAGGAAAACACGTTTTTTCAAAAACTACTGGAAACCGTAGGAAACTTTCCTATGAATTTTTTCTCAACAAAACACATTTTTTTCGTAGAAAAAAGTTGCACAAAAATATGTGGATTTAAAATTTTCTTACATATTTATGGGGAGAAATCTGCAGGTATTTTTCCTATGGAACCATTCGAAAAAACTCCTTAAGAAAACCTGCAAGTAAATCCGTAAGTAGGTAATTTTTATGGCAAAAAATGCAATCCACAATTAATTCATGAAAAATAGATAAAAAATTTAAAATAGATTCCAGGTAATTATATATAAATTTGATGAAACATTAGCATTGCTAAAAATTAAAATAAAGAACCATATAATAACATTCATTAACATTATGTGTAAATTTTATAGACTTCCATTAAATTCTAACAATACATGTCAATAATCTAATAATTAAAAAGTTATATATTATTTAACCAAAACAGTAAAGTATAAGTCTGTAGAAAAAAATAACTTTTTGATGTTAAATTATTTTCATAGGTCGTGGTGAATTATATCAACGTTGAAGTACATTTTCTAAACATCAAAAGGAGTGGTTGTTGAATGGTACTTTGTTAAAAGAATCACAAAGGAGTAATTTTTGTACTAAATTATCCTTTTTTTTACAATCTATCTGATTCACGTTCGTTCACCATAATTATATACTTTTATTTATTTTTCATATTTTAATAAAATAAGTTGAAATATAAAATATTCAATATCTAACTTTAGGCTAATTAGTATTACTTTCAAATTTTAATAAACTTTGTTTGAAATAACATGCTGCTAAATTTCATATGATGGCACCTAGCCTTAAATTACCATAGCCACCAGCAACAGCACAATAAATAAACTTTCTTATGCATTTAAATTAGTATTCTATCTAGTATTCACTCTCTGTACTAAAGAACTGAATTGTAGTAATATCGTAATCGCTCAAGTTATTTTTTTATATATTATTCTTTTAATAATAATATATAAAAATATTATTTAAAAGATTGTTCTTCTCAATATTCAAAATATTTTTACACAACAAATTAAACTCACAAATAAATTAGTTAGACCAGACCTCTTAAACCTAAAAACAACCTTAGAGAAAACGTAAAACTATAAAAACTAGTTTTAATGCAAGCTACCACTTTAAAATGACTTTGGAGTAAAAAGGAAAAAAAAACATGAGTAATAATTTTTTAAAATAATATTAACATTCTACCTTTAAAACTCCAATGCAAAATCTAACTTTTGATATGAATAAAGAGGTTTGGAAGATACCACAATATCCTCAATCATAAATATAATTCAATACATCCTGCTTTAGTGCATTTGCCTCAATCCATATCATTTACACATGCAGATACAATTACTATGTGAAGTATCTTCCACCAAAAACATGATTACATCGTAAATGAGAAAAAAAACAAAAACAAAAAGGAAACAATTAATCATGTTATTCTCCGGTATGATTGCAGCTTAATGTTATTATTTTCCACCCTTATGTAATTGCTTATCCAATTTACTCAATAAGGTTAAAAATCCATTTAAAGCCTGCAATCCTTCTTAGGCACTTCAGCACTATAAGCAACAATTTTCATTACACCCGTCAGAATGTTTCCTTTTAAAAAGGGCCTATTGAACAAATAAAAAATAATTTAGACTCAATATATAGTTATTCTATAGCATACTTTTTTTGTAACATCCTCATTTTGTAATTTATTATTATTGCAATTAATATTAGTTGTTTGTACATGTTATTTAAAATTAGAAATGTTTAATTGATGTAAACTATAGGATATCTCGCTATAGCGGGACAAATCTCGCTGTATGAAACCCAATGCCATGATAGTAAGAGCCTCTGATGGAACAAGGAAAGAGGTCATTGGAGAAATTGAAATCCCAATCCAAATTGGTCCTTACACTTTTCAAATTTTGTTTCAAGTAATGGACATTGCACTAGCTTATAGTTGCCTTTTGGGAGGCCTTGGATTCATTCTGCTGAAGTTGTACCATCCACATTGCATCAAAAATTGAAGTTTATCATTGACAATAAGCTAGTGATTGTCTCTGGTGAAGAAAATGTGTTAGTGAGTAAACCTTCATCCACTCCTTATATCAAAGCCGCTGAAGAAGCTCTAGAGACCTCTTTTTAGGCTTTAGAGATTGCAAATGCTACTTATGTTGGGGAGGGAGCTCCAATTGTTAATCCTCAATTGTCTAATACATCCATAATAACAGCTAAAGTCATGCTCGAGGGAGGTTGTCAATATGGATTTGGGGCAAGACAAACCACCACAAAAGCAGCAAAATGGTTACAACTCCATGAGAATAAGGATAGGTAGGGAGCCTAAGACTGAAGGGGTCCCCATTTGTGATCTTCTGAAGAGCTTCTATAGTGTTGGATTTGAGTTTCAAGACTCAGTGGCTGCTGTTGATGAAGATGTACCTAGAGAAGAAGTTGTGAACCTGGTCCGCACTTGTTTGCTGAACACAAAAGTTGGCAA